CAGCTTAAATAAGATTGTGATATAAAGTTAAATTATATTTTTATTCCATGTCAGTGACTACTATATCCTAAATTATGTTTGCTGCCGTTGGTTTTTGTAATGAACCACTTATGATAAGGATAGCAAATACAATATTTTCCGACTTATACCAATAATACGTTTTGATACACCCTGTTGTTTATAAATTATTCAACTGTGTGTATCAGTTAAAGTAACTACTTCTAGCAACGAAAACTGACATAGCTGTAAGGTTACATACCCTGTTGTTTATAAACTACTATCCTTGCCCTACCCGTCCAAAAATGAAGGGTTAGAGTTTTGTAATATCAGCGTAAAATGACAATCGGCTTTTGTATATATAATAAATTTTAATTAGCGAAAAACAAAAAAGAGTAGTATCACGCCAAAGTTTATGGCTTGTATATAAATATATGAAAATCATATCAATCTCTTATTTAGATTTATCTTATTTTACTTTTTAGCTTGTTTTTAGCATTATGACTATCACAAATCCATCGATATTTCACACGTACCGGAACGTATTTTCTTAATTACGTCATATAACTTAAAAATTATGGTTTAATGCCGAAAGAAGATGAAGCATCCAAAACCAACAGTCCTAAAGTTTATAATAATTTTTTTATTATAAAGTTTATACCTAAAAATTAATTTCAAGTATCATCGTTAGGTAAGGCTATGGCAATGCGTTTGGGATAAAGAAAAAAATGATTGATCCAAAAAAGTAATAATAAAAATGAAAAACATCATGAAAACTTAATAAAAACTTACGAATTGAGGTCATTAATACTTAACTTAGATGTATTTAAAACTCGCGAAGAACTTCAAAATGTCTACATCAAGCTAAGTATATGCATAAACTAAAATGTAAAAAGTGAAATTCAAGCCAGCCTTTGTGAACGTTTGAAATATTATATGCATACTTAAGACAACAATATCAGGTCATGGTTTTGTTGCTAAGTAACTCAGATGAACGGAGCGTTACCAAATGACAACTGGCTTTTGTATATTAGAAACAACTGTGCGTCACGTACGGTTGCTGACTACTTCTAGCAATGACAACAACTGACATAGCTTAAAGGTTTCAGTGTTGTAATCTGAAATTCAGTGCAGATAAAAAAAGACCTGAACACATTCAGTCAGAATCTTTTTATGGGCACTAACTGGTTAACCAGAATGAGTTGAAAATTTTCAATAAGACAATTATTCTTGAGAGAATACATACGTTTAACTTATATTTATAGAGCATGTTTTCCCGAAGCTAAAAAACGTCTTTGTTCATATTTATCCTTTATAACTCAGTGAAGGGCTAAAATATACACGTTAACATATTATCTACTCTGATCTATTACTTTTCATTCGCCAATAGACCAACTTTAACTATCCTATTCGCCCGATTTTACTATATATATATATATATTATATAACGAACTTGAATTATAAATATAAATGTTAGAGGTATCCCACACTCTATAAAATTAGAAAATTAAAAACAAGATAAAATTGGATAGAAAAATGCATCAATTTAAAAACAACGTTTCGCCACTGTTACGTTGCTTTTAAATGATGCATTTTTTCTATTCAATGATAGCCCTTTTTGAATTTTGAACTTAAAATATACATTCTATGCATGCTATGTAACAACGTGTTGATAATAATCACGTACTGATTTTTATTGAAAACGAAATATTTAAATCTTTATATGCAATTGTTTTCATACTTAATGAAATTAATCAAAAATGTATCATATTTGTACAATTTTATCTTTACCAAAAGTGGGTTAAACGTGGGAAAATATCATATAGTAAAGGTTTTTGTCACGTAGAAATAAATGTTTATTAAATAACTGTTTTTCAAGGTCAAGTCCAACTAAACATAAAAGAACATTAAATAGTCGAATAGTAACACTTTTTATTAAAAACCAAAAATAGCACATTTATATTTTATCGCTTGTCGTTTATCAGTTTGTTTGTTCTCAGTGATCCTGAAAATTTTCTCTAACAACTCTTAAAAGTATGTTCTTTTCTTAAGTAAGTTTTGTTGGTCGGATGTAGTTTTTATCAAATTCGGAAATGGCTTAAAAACATTTTCTCCAAATATTTAGATCAATTCGAAACTCGTGGCTTTATCTTTACTTTTTCTCAGTTTTGATTTTTTTCTTCCTGATTATCATTTGTTTTTTGAAAACCACTGGATAGCTGAAACCTTTTTAATATATGTCCTCCATGGCCCGGTGGCTCAACGGTAAGCTTCAGAGCCTATAACGCTGAACATCGGAAGTCAATACTCGCGGAAGATACAATAAAGATAGCCCATTGTGTAGCTTTGCGCTTAACCAAAAAAGAAAAAGAAAAAATGAGTTAACAACTTTTGACATATCGTTATAATAAACTTTCAAATCACAGAAGAATGCTTTTCAAATGTTACTCTCTTAATGAACTCTTCATCTTCTAGCCGTGCGGTGTTTATAAATTATCTGTATCCTTTTCCATTTCCTTTGTTTCTGTGTCTTGGAAACTCTTATCCTCAACTTACTTTTAGTTTTAATTGGATTTATAAATGGTAGATATTTTCAAACAAGTGCAGTAGTAGTGTTGTCCATAAGACAACCGTAAAGTTTATAGTTTCTGCGTCTAAACCACAAAGATTCTTCATTTTAGGTAAAATATTTTATGATATTAAAGAGTGTTCATCACTGGGCAAAAGTTCCTCTTCCATATTTTATCGCTGTAGATTGCAAAAACTAGGGTTAGCGTAGAGGAGGAAGCTCATCGCTGTAGATTAAATAAACAAGGGTTAGTGTAGAGGAAGCTCATCGCTGCAATTTCAAAAACAAGGGTTAGTGTAGAGGAGGAAGCTCATCGCTACAGATTGAATAAACAAGGGTTAGTGTAGAGGAGGAAGCTCATCGCTGCAGATTGAATAAACAAGGGTTAGCGTAGAGGAGGAAGCTCATCGCTGCAGATTGAATAAACAAGGGTTAGTGTAGAGAAGGAAGCTCATCGCTGCAGATTGAATAAACAAGGGTTAGCGTAGAGGAGGAAGCTCATCGCTGCAGATTGCAAAACAAGAGTTAGCGTAGAGGAGGAAGCTCATTGCGTGTTGACATTTACGAAGTTTAAAAGGTTTTAACCATGATTCACCTAATAATAGGCGCTCGAGATTGGATACTTTTTAAGAATGACATTTGATAAGTTATGCTGAGAACGTGGGAGAGGGACTTTGATACCTAGCCCTCCAATTAACCAGAATTAAGCCCTAAGAACTTTCTCGGAACTTCATTAAGTGTCGTGTCTATGGGATAAGCCCATGTTTATTCGACACTTTTTGGCGTAACACTGAAAACATTACATCAACATAGCTCCGTTTATGCTGCACCAGTACGTAGTGGGAAGAACCATATCGCTGGGAGCTGCGCTGTCGCGACAAGCTGTACTGGTACAATAACACGAAGGACATGCTCAGATAGACTGGGAACATTATTAAACTTAATAACACACCCAAACTCGCCAAAGCTGATATCCGCCTGACAATTCTAAGGGTACTCGTTTTTTCTTTTGGTAAATCGGGAAACATTTTCTTGTGAACTATTTGATCTTTAATGATCAAATAAAGCTAATTTACTGTTTAGCTACATTGTTCTTACTTTCAGATAGAATAATTATTGAATCATGAATATTTATACAACGAAGAAGTATTATGTTATATACATGATAATTGTAAATGTAAAAACCGTATTCAAACTTAATATCATACTGTACTAATTATGTTCGCTTGGTTTTATTCATAGAGTACAAATTACTTCAATACCGAAACATTATATATAAGCGTTTTACTGATGATGACATTGGATTCGTTGTCATGCATATCCTTATTCAACGAAATGTCACAAACACTGCAAGTTAACTTATAAAGGGTCTTTGCAAACCTTACTTGGGTAACAGAATTTTTTGTTCAACAATGAAAAGATGTGTATTCTGTTAATAATAATTATAAACACCCTCTTAGATACATAGTTGGCCCGGCATGGCCAGGTGGTTAGGGCACTCGACTTGCAATCTGAGGGTCGCGGGTTCGAATCTCCGTCCCACCAAACATGCTCGCCCGTTCAGCTATGCAGGCGTTATTATGTGACGGTCAATCCCACTATTCGTTGGTAAAATA